TATTTGAAGGCATAAAATTTACTTCTCAAGTCTTTAGAAATTGACTATATTCATACCTAAGATTTAATATTGAATTTTGCTTGTCTCTAGTTTTTCATTTCTTACTCAAATTTGCGTCTACTTTCAGGTCCCTTTTTTTTCTTTAACTCTATCCTATTTCATTTCCCTTAGGAGGGGTATAACTCATCCAAAATCCCATTCCCAAAGTATAATTTTTCTTGACAAGGATTCCTACCTATACTTCACTCCTTCTCTAACTAGCTCTAGCTTAAGTTTGAACTTAATGTTGCCCTTTTCATAAGTCTTTCTCCCTAGCTATCTTGACTACCTTTTTTATGCTCTTATTAACCTCAAATAAGGTTTATTTATCCTCCAATAATTTCACCCAAGAACATATATGAGAGTGTAAAATTTTCCATTTCCGATTATTCTTGCACAACTCTAGCTTTGAACATGCTTTCCCTTGAGCTTAGCTTCTATGTTTAAGGTTTTTTGTTCACCTATCCTCTAATTAGTTATTTTATCAATCAGCCCTAGCCTAGGATCCATTTTAGTCCTTAATATGATCCAGCCATGGCTTCCCTATGCTGCAAATTTGGTTGACTCTATACTATTTTTTATCATCCTCCCTAGTTTTTACTTACTTTCCTAACTTCAAACTAATCTCACCTTCTTCTTCATGGTGGCCAAACCACCTTACCTTATTTTTTCCCTGTTTAGATCCCTTATTTTACTCACAATCCTCGTAAAACACCATAGAAATATTTTACTCCTCAAGGGAAATAAGACCTTAAGCTTAGTCTACTAACTTATAAATTTTTTCCTTTAATTTCTTATTTAATTTTTTTCCTTTAATTTCTTATTTAACTTTATATCTCCTCCTTAGTCCTCTTCTTTCTTGTTTAAACCCTCATTTCAAGCCTCCTCTAAGGGGATCATCTTCCTCCAAAACCTTTCACTTCATTCCCAGATTCTACTCACTAATTTCAGCATATATATTATGTTACCTTTAACTAAGTTTTAGTAAGGTTTTAAGCTAATTTGAGTTATTTTTTTTTCCCTTTCTTGTTAAGTGAATTAATCATCCTTTAAGTCATTGATTTGCCTTGATTTAAAGTGTCATTCTGCCTCCTAGCAGTCTTAATTTGTTGCCTTAAATTGCTGAATTTTCTTGCTCTAATTTCTACATGTAATACATTTCACCCTTCTAGCTAGTTTTTGCATGCACTAAACGTTTATTCAGTTTCTTTTATTCTCCCTCTCTTATGCTAGCTAAACCGCCCACTTATCTATTTGTTAGACTCATCTTGAAGCTCATTTCATTCCCCTTGTTTCATGGCTTATGCATAAGGTATTGTAGAAAATTTTTTGCACCTCTATTCTCACAATCTACCTTTGTATAACCTACATTTATGCTAGAATTTCAATTTTGTTCTACATCTTTCTTCTCATTTGGTTTAGCCATTCTCTAATATATCCATTGACACCAAGTTTAAGTTAGAATCAACTCCTTTCTTAGCCGCAATTGGTTCGGCCCCATAGGTTATGCATGCTGAAAATTTTCAGCCTATCTAAGGTGGTTCTACTTTCAGTTTTTGGCTTAATTCCCTTTTTTTTTAATCCATTTTCTCCCCCTTTTCTTATTCCCACGTGAGCTCCCTTGTTCCTACCCTAGTTCTAGCTTCATAAACAGTAAAAAAACTCAAAATAAAGTCATAGAAACTCTAAGTATTCAAGGAAAAACATGATTCTCACAAGGTTCTTTCAAAATCACCAACTAGCTTTGGGTTTCTTCTCTCTCTAGGTTTTGGACAGCATGGTTTCAGCAAGTTAAATTAGTTCAAAACTTCTTGCTTCTTCAATCAAATGGAAGAAAAATAGAAGTAGCATCAAAATCTATAAAAAATTTCATACAAAATCAATTTCCAGATTTTTTCTTGCCTTTCTTCCTTTCTCTTCTTCTCCTTCCTTTCTTTCTTCTTCTCTTCCTTTGTTTCTCCCTTGGCTTGCACAAGTTATGGGGGCTTCTAGAGGGCTTAAGGGCTTTTTACATCCCTTTAAGTTGGCCAAAATAGCTCCTCAAAAAAAAAAAAAAAAATCTCCCAATGAAATGACCAAAATACCCCTTCTTAGTTTGTAATTCCTCTTTTTGCCCCCTTTTGAATTCTAATTCTACTCTTAACCCTAAGCAACTACTCTAATGCATTTCTTATCCCTCTAAACATAAAGTTTAGAGTAGATTAAATCACTAATTAATTTTTATTAAATTATTTAACTAAGTTTTATATTTATTGTTTTTGTTATTAGTTGCTTAACTTAGGTTTTTACTTTCAAACCATTACTTTTCTCTCTATTTTCTTCCACTATCATATAATTCTCATATTTTAATGCTTCATAACGCTTCTCTAACCCTTTCTAAGGTTATGAACAAGCAAGAGCAAAATAATCCCCTAAAATTTAAATTATCCCTAATATGCATAAATAAAACATAATGCATGCAATAATGTCAAATAATGTGATCCATGTTTATTCTCTAAGGTTTTACATTACAAACTTGATTTGAAATGTTACAATTTCTAACTCGAAATGCTATCTTTCTTCATATAAGATCTTTCTTCATATAAGATATAGTGCAAGTATTCTTATTCATTAACTTTGATGCTCCTAAAGCAATGTAAACATTAAATATCATTTGTTGTTACTATCTACTTGTCTACCGCTTTTTAATAGTTAATATGATTTCCTACACCTACATAGAAGGGAGTAGGGATGCCCTTTTTCTTAATTGGCAAGGCCTTTAAAACTTTTTGGATTTTTAGCTTTAACAATATTTCTTTTGTTATCTATTATGTAGATATTTTTTTATGATGAGATTTTTTAATTTATTTTTGGGGCCTTGGTCTTACTTATGCATGAAAAGTGCCTTTGTATTATGATTTGAAATTCCCAATATCTGGATGATTAATACAAATTACAAGCAAATATAAATATTTACTTTGTGCCAACCCAAAATCTCATTTGGATAATACCATTGATTTTTCCATTTATGGTTATCTCGTTTCAAAAAAACTATTAATGTTAACCCACACAATGGCCTAAGTGTTAGCCCCATGAGATTGAACTAGCCCAACTCAAGGGGGTCAGTAGATTGGGTTTAAGTAAGATTGGGTTAGGTTGACTAAGAAATGGATTTGGGATAGGCCGAGGGGCACTGGGCTTGAAGCACTTAGGCAGGTTGAGTAAGTAGGCTGGGTTGGGTCGAAGAAGCATATTTGAATAGCAAGCTAAGGCAAATGGTCTAAAGTAGGTTGGACCTCGACAAAGATTAACTCAATTGACGAGCTGGATTGGGCCGTGACTCAAATGGACAAAAGGTGCTTTAGACAAGATAACAAAAATCTTGCAAGTTTATAGAGTGATCGAACAAGTTCAAAATTCAAATGAATGAGGGAAGCTCAAACATTTGAATTTGTTCAAGAATCTTGATAACAGATTAGCCGAGATTCAAATTGAGCTATCAGATAAAGATTACAATCAAGTAGCAAGAGATCCAAGGGCCGAGTTTGAATTACAAGATGCTTAAAATCAGATTGGATTGGATTTGATCTATCTCTATTGACAAAAAGATATTCATCTAACGGATGAGTTCAAATGAAAGAACATCTAAGGGTGGAGATAAAAGCGGTTGGATGAGATAAGCTTGACCAAGGGAGAATCTGGAGAAAGATATTCTAGCTATAGATAAGGTTAAATCTATTAGAGGGTTCAACCAAAGTCATAGATGAACGTGGCTCAAATCCCAACTAGGTGCAAATCAGATTCTAGATTAGGTGAGAATAGTTAGGGATTGAACCTTATTAGATAAGAGTTTGTTATCTGATCGTAAAGATAGAGATTGAGAGGGTCATTGGCACTTATAAATACTTGTAATCTTCTTATTTGCAAACCATTCGATTTGAGAGAGTAAGTGAGGGAGAGGTGTCTTGGACAGCGGGCTTTTGTTACTCCAATGAAGGAACCCGAAAAAAGGGTTTAAAGCAAGTGCATGAGATCGAATCCAAAGGCACATGGAAGGGCATGCCACGACCAAAAGAGGACCAAAACTCATTGTTTTGGTGAGGAAATGAGAAACATTCGAGGTTTACTATTCTTGGGTGGACAATAGGCTAGTCTTCAAGGTTATTTTAATTGAAAAATTTTGAGCTTTCGCTAAACCTGGTGACACTAAGCTCCTAGAATAATTAACCTAAAAGGAGGTTCTCTTACTCTAAGAAACTCCTAATCAACTTGTATGAACCCTAATAATACAAAATTTTTGAATTCAAAACATTATTTATATCTATTGTTAGAGCTAGTAACTATAATGAAATAATTTATATGGATAACTATAAGAATGACAACGGATTGGTTTTGAATTAGATCGGACCAATCTGAATTTTATTGTTCATTTATATATTAGAATATGATATAACACCGTACAAAATTTGTATCTATCAATTCATATTTAAATTTGATAAATAATTCAAAATTTTATACAAAAGAAAAAACTTTGATGTAATAAAAAAATAGTTTTTTTTTTATAAAATTTGTATTTATTAATTTATATTCAAATTTGATAAATAATTTAAAATTTAATAAAAAGTTTTAATAAAATAAAAAAAAAAATTTCACAAAAATTTTTAGACGAAGATCCATGAGACCCAGTACAAACGAGTCTACCTTCCCATTGTTTTGAACTGGGCTCCAGGGCCCAATATGACACAGTCGGCTATAAATGTCCAAAAGGATCCCCTCCCCGCGCTGTGAAAACCAAACGCTACGGCCCAATCGATTTCCCTCCAATCTTTCCCGCCAAATTACGGCCGAGTTGCAAATTGACTGGCAAGAAGTGAATCTTGCCAGATTTTTATCTGTCGTGTCGGCCATCCTTTCTTCCTTTTTGGTTATCGCGAGGGCGATAGCATCAACCACATTCACATTCAGATCTATAAGCTGCTGTAATGGAGAGTGGCGGCGGTGGTAGTGGAGCTCCTACTGGCTGTTACAAGTGTGGCCGCCCCGGCCATTGGTCCCGGGACTGCCCTTCAAATCCCGGCAACCCTAAGTCTACTTCTAATCTTGCAAATTCGGATTCCAATTCTAATTCAACTACTTTCTCAAATTACCCTACATCCATATCGGCTCCCTTCAAGACCCCCGGTGGCGGTGCTCCGGCTGCGAAGCCCAGGAAAGCTCCTAGATCCAGACCCAAACTCACGCCCGAGCTCCTCCTCTCCAACGATGGCATTGGTTACATTCTTGCCCACTTCCCTCGCGCTTTCAAGTACCGCGGTCGCGGACACGAAGTACGTGCGTCCTTCTTTTCAATTCTTATGCTCGATAATTATTTCAGTGTCATATTGAGTTTTGAACAATGGCTGATTTTTTTATCCATCAGTTTCTTTTATTTCACCTTTTACCGTACCATTTGCTGCAAGAATTTTGTTTATACAAATTCCTGCCAAAAATTTTAAGCTTTGAATTCCTATGAATCAAAGGTTAGAGTCAGAAATTTAGGAGGGAGTGGGACCAAACTAAAGTCATCAAAATATTTCCGTGAATAGGAAAGTAAATTAATTTATTTATAATTTTGTATAAAATCTTAAAGCAATCGTTCCTTTACATCCTGCATAAATCCTATCATATAACAATGCACCTTGAACATTTGATAATGCAAAATGGCTAACTACTGAGTAGCCTTTTGCAACCCCTACTACCATAGGGATTATCGCTTTTTTCAAGAGCATCAATTTTTTTTTTATTTTAAATTTTCCGTACCTTGAACAACTTCATTTCTGCGAAGGATAGGAAACTAAACGGTTCAATAGGCCTCACCATAAAGTCTATAACGTGTATCGATTCAATTTTTTTGCTTTAGTAATATGTACTTTTAGAACCGACATGATTGGTTAAAGCATTAAGCAGGCACTATGGAATGTTTGGTTCGCAAAAATCCAGTTTTGTTTGGAAGTTTTGAAATATCGCTATAGAATGAGGTTTTGATTAGGTTGGAGGATGAGGGCTTTTCTCTTTAAATAAATCAGTCAGGTAAAAAGCTAATTCTTCGTATTTTTGAAAAAGCCCATCATACTTCTCTCTAAAATTAAATCAAAAAAGCACTACGGAAGTCTTTTTTGCCCAAAAACTTCTAAAACCAAACATCTTAAATATTAAAGAAGAAGCTACAGGTAGGGAGTCCAGTTACTATGTGTAATTGATCTATACAATATCAAATATTATTAGCCTTCAAAATAAAGAGGGCTAGGGATGGCACCCCCTCAAGTACTGTTCATTTTGCCTCTGCTTAAAGCGTAGGTTGGTATATCCAAAAGCTTGCTGCATTGCACAAATCCTGAACATATACATTTTAAAATATATCATAATAATTTTAGAAAGATATATTTTGAAGTTCAATAGGACTAAAGAGAACAAGGGATTATTTGTCATCTTTGTAAAAGACTAGATCATTCTCTTGTTTTCTATATGTGCTTATCTTCATGGAATTTCATATTAATAGATTCAATTCTGCGATTAGTATTTGGAGTTAGACCTTAAACATTTACTGTTATCATATCATGTGGAAATGGCGTACAGTGGAGAAAATAAAAGTATCAACTAGACATTAATTTTGTTAGTTACCAACATAATTTAATGCAAGAATTACTTTAAAAGAAAAATGTCCTAGCCGAGCATTTCTTAGCAAATTTCAAGGTCATGTCAAATGTGATGTAGATTGTACCTCAAGTAGAATTGGAACTATAGCAGGCCGCAGAATAAGGTCTTTTCAATGATCTAACAGGAAGTTGGGTGGAAGGGCCAGTTATGAAATTTAATGGAAGTTTACTTAGTTTTGGCAATTAATTCTAAAAATTAAAAGTTTGGTAGGGGGCTAGTTTGCATTTGTAAGTGTTTGTAGTTCAGAGCTACTAGCCTACTTTTGTCAATGCACTTTTTTTTTTGGTAAGAAACATGTTATATGCCTGAAAAAAATCTGAAGTTTTCATGACAAAATAAATTAGGTTATGCCAACTTTCCGTTTTCAATTTTCACAAAATTTCATACCGCATACAACATCTGTCTGCTGCTACTTTACTCTGTTCAGTAAAAATATCTTTACTTCAAATGCTCTGCCAACCCAATGTGTGATTCATGTTCACTTTACTCTGATCTTAGTCATATAAATTAAAACTCAACTTTTATTGCAAATGGAATGCTTTAGTTTTAGTTACTGGAGGTAATTAAGGAACTGATGTATGTTCCACCATGAGAGGTTGCATTGGAGCTGAGACTTGTAACTTTAAGGAAAGGAGGTAAAGAACTCTATTTGTGGAGAGCTCTCACAGGAATTGTGGGGGAGGGAGTAGCAAACATGGTTTGCTTCTTATAGATTGATGACCTGAAGGGAGCAACCAGAATGCTATGGTGCTGCCTTGAGCAAAGTTAAAAATAGCCCTTTCCAAGATTGCTTGTCCATTAGATTTCCTAATTGGTCAAGCTAATGGTGCTTCAATGTAGTGCCACTCAGTTAAACCATGTGAGTTGCTACTGTGCTGGGATGCTAAGAGAAAAGTCTTATGTATCAAGGAATCATCCATGTTAATCCTCAACTTGGTTGGAGAAAATTGGAGCATTCTGATGTGTCTTGATGAAGTTGACATGTAGTATCTGTCCAGGATGATGTGGCATCTCATTAGTTCAACCAGCTGATGATGTAGCTTAGCAGGTCAAATTTCCTACGGTTATCAGTCAAGGTATAAATTCAAAGTGAAAAAGTTTAAAACTTCCAGTGATTTGCAATCAATCTCCTGGAGCTGTGAAAAATTTGATATGCATACCTTGGCTGGACTACTATTTTTGGGTATTTGAATGGAGTTGAGAAGCAAATCAAGTACAACATTCCAGGTTTTGAATTGCACTGGATTATTAACTACTAATCGTGACCCATTGCTCATCTAAACATGGAGTTTTCTTTTTTTGGTGATAGAATCTCATAGGATTTGTGATATGGTGCCATCCAAATAACTTTGGCTGTGGCATTCTAAGTAAATGATGCATTATTCACAAGCTTTTATTGCTTTATCCTTCTGCTCCTTGGCAATTTCCATTTAATGTTGCTTACTATAAGTTTGGAATTTATTTAAAATTTTTTATCTAAATAAACTAACCATTAACATGCTTACTATTTTGTAAAGGAGTTTCAGCTACATTAATCCTTTATATATTAATTGAAGCATATTGTTTAATTATATGCAGGTGAGTGATTTGGGGAACTTAATTGGCCTGTATGCTGAATGGCATTCACATTTGCTTCCTTACTATTCTTTTGATCAGTTCGTGCACAAGGTGGAACAAGTCGGTGCCACAAGACATGTTAAGGTAAAAAGTCTATTCTTTTAAGTCAATATTGACTTCATTTATAAAAAAGGGCAGTAAGCACAATCTCTAAAATTTTGAAGTGCTAATTTTATAATGTCAACATGTTTGGTATTGAAATTCCACTAAGTGCAACTTGCTTCATCTTGAATGTCCCAGCTAGCTTAATTTGTAACTTTCCTCTGTAGTGGGCAGTAGTGAGTTGGAAATAATTATCACTTGTCCAGTGTGGGGAACAGATTTTGCTGGCAGCAAGGACTCTCTCTTTTGGTAATTGAATAGAAATACACAAAATGAATGAATGAAAACAAACAAAAGATAGCAATACTCAAACCCCAGGCCTTAACAAATTTAATCAAATTTTAGATTTAAATTCAGAAAACAAGTGATTGTTACTGTCAGGAGCAGAGGCTTCTATTAGTTTCTTTATTGGGTCACTGTAGATTTTGTGAATTAGAGGATTCCTGGCAAGAAAGGGCTAGGCCTAACAAATAACATCTTTGACTTCCAGGTAATTCCTCATAAATTAAATCAAATCTTTTAGTTTCAGAAATATTAATGATGAGCTGTAGCTAGTATCTTAATGAACTTTGGAACTCTATCAGTGTGAATTTGTAATTTGTTTCCCTGAAATTCAAGTTTATTCTTCATCTTTCTGATGGAAGATTTTTATTGTCAAATTGAAGGGGAAAAGAACTGTGCTGTAATGTAGAGATGGAGTGGTAAATTAAGTGAAAATCTTACGATTTCTTGATATATGTTTGTTCTTGTTCTAGAAGATATTAATATGTTCTTCCTTAATTTAAGATATTGCCTCCTACATAATTTTGTTTTAGGGTCTATCTTCATTTTAATTACTTTTAGGAATCTGGCCTCTATTGTGGACTATATAGACTCATGACAGTTTTAATGCACATGGATTTTTGAAAACTTTGTGTTTGATAGAATCATTTGGTAATAGGTCTATTTATATACTTTATTCTATTAAACACAGACATGCCTTGGAGGGTTACGAGAAAAAGTTGCTAATGGAGGGGACCCAACAAAGCTACATGAATCCCCATCTGAAGACGCCACAAATAATGACCAAGGTACCTCATATGCTACTTCAAGGGACCTATTCCTTCATGCTGTATTGTTGTAATTTTATTTTCCTTGAATACTAGATCACCAATTGTCCCAAAAAATTAAGTTATCAGGAAATAGGCCAACAATCAAGTTAACACTTCCTCTCACATCCAATCTTGTGTAGACATTCAAAAATGTAGTTAAAAACATAAAAAACTTTGTATGGAATTTGGCATAATAGGAACATAGACTGTACAAGGAAAAATGCAATTAGGTTACATAATTGAAGTATATTGCAATTTTTGTTATAAGTTAGAAATATATGATAGGTAAAAGAATTTTTATACAAACTTGCTAAATTAAGAAAGAGAAAAACTAGGAACTTGAACAATATTATGTTAGGGAATCTCCAATAAAATGTGTGTATAGTAGAAGAAAGAAGGTGTAAGTTAAAAGATTGTAATTGTACTGTTAGTTGGGAGGTAGTTAGTTTTGTTAGAGTGGGTTTTTGTTGTATTGTTAGTTTTTGTTAGTTGGTGAGGAAATAAATGGAGGGAGGGGAGAAGAGAGGAGTTGTTTTTGCTTTTGTAAAGGATTCATATGGGAGGGCTTAGGGCCTCTTGAATGTCTTGAATTTCATCTTGTAATTGTGTAAAGTTATATGAAATTGAGGAATTCTCAGTTCTTAATATTGAGATTCTATCAATTGGCATCAAAGAGCAAGGTTCAGTTCATTTCATTAGATTCATATGAGTGTCGCAAGAGTCATTGTAACTTGATTTCAAGATTCTTGCAACTGGCTTGTAAGGGCTAGTTTTTTGAATCATCAACTGGAGTAGACAGAAGTTATTGCACAGGTTAGGGTTTTCGCATCGTTAGTCTCGTTGACCATAGATGCAAGGAGTGCTAGGATATTCAGAAGCAATTGTGAGCAATTTGAGGGAGTGCAAGTATTGTTAGGGTATTGTGGTAAAGCTGGAAGGTTTGTATAGCCATCTTGGCTACTGCGAAAGGAAGAAGCATTTTGAGTTGTGTGAAGCCTGTGACTAGGGATAAGGGGTCATGCAAAGCGTGCGACTAGGGATAAGGGTCGTGCAAAGCCTGCGACTGGGGCTAAGGGGTCGGGTGAAGCTTGCAACTAGGGCTACGGGGTCGTGCGAAGCCTGCGACAGGGGATAAGGGGTAGTGTGAAGCTTGCGGCTAAGGTTAAACAGTATCATCAAGTAGCACTCTTCTGGGGGTTGACTAGGAATAGGTTGGATCTCGTAGGTGCTGACGAGTATAGAATTGGTTGAGGCGAGGGTGAACAATTGATCGTTGTAGCCAGGAATTTTGAAAGGAGTTAACGTGGGTGGAAGGAGTAAGTTGTTTCTTTATGGTTCATACAAGAATGGAAGTCAGATTGGATACACTAGAAAGAAGTTTAGAAGCTTGGAGAAAGGAAATGGAAGAAGATCGAGAAATCCAAGAAATACGCAAAAAATTACAAGATGCTTGAATGAAGAAGATTGAGCAGCTTCTTGAAAATTTGACTCGGAATTCTTTTATAGACAATTTAGGCAAAGAGAAATCTGGTAGCATTTAAAATGAAAAAATGGAGGATGGGTCTAATAGTGGGACAAGAATGGTAAGTAGTGGACAACGATGGACAAAGCTTGAGATTGTAGTATTTTCAGGAGAAGATGCTTATGGTTGGGTAAATCGGGCGAAATGTTATTTTCAGATCAAAGGAGTATTGGAGAAAGAGAAAATGCAAGTAGTATTGATAGCCATGGAAAGTAGAGCATCGAGTTGGTTCTAGTGGTGGGAATCTTGTTATGTAAGTCCTTCTTAGGAAAGTTTTAAAACAACTTTAATTAGAAGACTTCAATAAGAAATGATGCAAAATCCATACAAATTATTGTTGAGTTTAAAGCAAACTACTACAGTAGCAGATTTTAGAAAGAAATTTGAACTGTATGCAGGTCCTTTACGATGTATTGATCAAAAATACCTCCAAGGTATTTTCTTGAATGGTTTGAAAAAGGGAAAAGGGGATTAAAGTTGAACTAAAATTGCACCTTGTTGAGACATTCTTGTAGATGATGGATTATGCCTAATTGATTGATGAGAAGAGTATAGCTCCAGTAAGGAAGGTGTGACAACAAGAGGTAAAACGGGAACCAATTTTAAAGGGTTTCTTTCTTCTAAGACTGTTAATATTGAAGTTGAACCTAGAAGCAACCTATTAGGTTCACAACAAGGAGTGGGAGCAAGACCTAATAGCAATTTTTAGAAGTAAAGAAGTGTTTAAAAGGTTATCAGAAGCAGAGTTGCAAGAAAAGATTAAGAAAGGATTATGTTTCAGATGTGATCAGAAGTAAAATCCTAAACATATTTGTAAAAACAAGCAATTGGAAGTCATGCTAATGAAGGAAGTATGGAAGGAAGATGATGCTGCTGATTTTAGTTAAGAAGTTGAAAATAAAGCCTTGCAATTGTTCCTAAATAGTATCATGAGAATGACATCAAAGAATGCTCTTAAGCTGTGGGGTAAGGTGGAAAATTAAAGAGTAGTAGTATTGATTGATTGTGGAGCATCACACAATTTTATTAACTTTGAGTTGATATAGTAATTAAAGATTCCCATAGTCCAAACACCTACTTATTATGTTGAGGTAAGTGATGGACACAAGATTAAGTGTATGGGAGTTTGTGAAGGGGTAATTTTATAATTACAAGCATTAGAGATTCAGCAAGATTTCTTTCGTTTCAAATTGGAAGGAGTTGATATTGTGTTGGGGATGGATTGGCTAGCAAGCTTAAGAGATATAAGGGCTAATTTCAGAGACTTAACTATTAAGTTGGAGGTGAAAAGGGAAATGATGATGTTAAGGGGTGAACCTACATTATCAACATCTATTATTTCTTTAAAATCAATAGTAAAAGCTTTACAGAATGAAAGTCAAGGTTATTTTGTTGAGTATAAAATGTTGATAGAAGTATATAATTAGGAAGATGAAGTTTTAGCTGCTGTTGAGAAAGTTTTGAAAGATTTTTAAAATATTTTTCAGGAACCTCAAGGATTACCACCATCAAGGCGACATGATCATACCATTATGTTTAAAGATGGAGATGCAATTCCAAATTTGAAACCTTACAAGTACTCTTATTATCAAAAAACTAAAATTGAAAAGTTAGTTGCAAAAATGTTATCTGCGAGTGTCATAAGACCTAGTGCAAGTCCTTATTCAAGTCTAATCATTTTAGTAAAAAAGAAAGATGGAGGATGGAGATTTTGTGTAGATTATAGAGTCTTGAACAAAATTACTTTAATAGATAAATTCCTAATTCTTATTATTGATGAGTTGTTGGATGAGTTTGATAAAGTTACTAATTTTTTTAAACTGGATTTGAAATTTGGTTATCATCAAATCAGAATAAAAGAGAAGGCATACCAAAAACTGATTTTCGAACTCATGAAGGTCATTATGAATTTTTGATAATGCCCTTTGGGTTAACTAATGCCCCATCAACTTTTCAATCTTTAATAAATGATATGTTGAGGCCATTTTTGAGAAGATTTGTTTTGGTTCTTTGATGATATATTGATTTATAGTGAGAATGAATAAGATCATTTACAACATTTAAAAACGGTGTTACGAGCGTTGAGAAAGCATCAGTTATATGTTAATAAGAAGAAATGTAGTTTTGGACAATGACAATTTGAGTACTTGGGACATGTTGTATTTGTTGATGGGGTAGTTGCAGATCTTAAAAAAATTGATGTTATATGGTTATAGTCAACACCGAAGAATGTGAAAAGTTTGAGGGGATTTTTGGGACTCACTGGTTATTATAGAAGATCTGTAAAAGATTATGGCAAAATTACTAAACCATTAAAATAGTTGTTAAAGAAAGAGTTTTAAATAGAGCAAAAATGCTCAATAAACTTTTGATACATTGAGAACTGTTATGACTACACTACTAGTTTTATTGGTTCTTGATTTTTTATAAACTTTTATAGTTGAAATAGATGCTTCCAGCAAAGGTACATGGGTTGTTTTATTGCAAGAAGGGCGACCAGTAACTTTCTTTAGTCAAGCATTATCAGAAAGAGTCCAAGCAAAATTTGTATACGAAAAAGAGCTAATGACTATAGTTTTGGTTGTACAAAAATGGAGACATTCCTTGATGGGGAGACATTTTTTATTCATACTAATCAAAACAATCACCAATTTTTGAACGAGAAAAGGTTGATAAATGAAGAGCAGTTGAGATGGGTTTCTAAATTGTTGGGGTTTGATTTTGAAGTTTGATATAAACCTGGTAAGGATAATGTGACTGCTAATGCACTTTCTCATAAAATGACCTTTGTTACAATTTCTAAGGTCCATTTGCTGATTTTGATGAGGGGTTGATGAAATACAAAAAGGTTAAGAAGATAATGCAAGACCTAGTTGTGAATTCTAAAGCTCAAAAAGGGTATCAGTTATAAGACAACAAGCTAATGTATAATGAGAGGCTGGTCTTACCAAGGAATTTTTCTAAAATTCTTTTAATTCTTTCAGAATTTTATAGTTATGCTATGGGGGGACATTCTGGATTTTTTAAAACTTATAAATGAATTTTAGGGTTGTTTTATTGGATGGGAATGAAGAAAGATATACAACAATTTGTTACAGTCTGTGATGTTTGTCAATGCAACAAAATTCAGACTTTATCTCTTGTTGGTCTTTTAAAACCTTTGCCAGTTCTAAATCATATATGATTTAATATCTTTATAGATTTCATTGAAGGCTTGCCTAAAGCTAATAGTAAGAATACGATTTTGATTGTAGTTGATAGATTGACCAAGTATGCTCATTATATAGCTCTCAGTCATCCATTTACAGCAAACGATGTCGCTGAAATTTTTTGAAAGTAGTTCGATTGCACGGGTTTTCAACTTCCATCATTTCTGATACAGACAGTTTTTCTTAACCATTTTTGGACTGAATTGTTTAGGTTGGCAAAGGCTAAACTCAAGTTCAGTTCAGCTTATCACCCTCAATCTGATGACCAAACTGAGGTAGTCAACTGATGCTTAGAAACTTATTTGAGATGCTTCACCAATGACAAACCTAAGCAATAGCCAAAATGGTTATCTTATGCTGAATTTTGGTATAATACTACCTATCATGGTTCTACTCAACTCACTCCTTCTAAAGTTCTATAAGGCCAAGATCCTTTCACTTTATTTAAAGGTACTACTATACTTTCAATAGTGGAGGTAGTTAATAGAATGATAACTGAAAGGGATGAGATGTTAGCAATATTGAAGGATAACTTGATAAAAGCTCAACATAGAATGAAATCTCAAATTGATAAACATAGAAGAGAGGTTGACTTTTAGGTTGGTGATTGGGTTTTTTTCAAGATACAACCATATAGACTCAAGTCTTTGGCTAAAAGGAGAAATGAAAAGTTAAGTCCTAGATTTTATGGCTCTTTTCAAATCATTCAAAGAATTGAACAAGTTGCTTATACGCTCCACTTACTTGATGGCAGTAAGATTCATCCTGTTTTTCATGTATTTCTTTTGAAAAAAGCTGTTGATCTATGGTACTTTTGCAGGCCTTACTGCCTATGTTATTTGAAGAAATGGAATTACAAGTTTCACTAGCTCAAGTTTTAGACATAAGAACTAATTCTTTTGGTTTTCAAGAAGTTTTGATAGAATGACAAGACCTTTTTGATTGTGAGAATTCCTAGGAATCTATAGTTACCTTACAAGAGCAATTTCCTAATTTTCACATTGAGAATAAAGTAAAACTTTTGTGGAGAGTATTGTTAGGAAACCTCCAATAAAATTTGTGCATAGTAGAAAAAAGAAGGTGTAGGTTAAAAGATTGCAATTGCACTATTAGTAAGGAGGCAATTAGTTCTGTTAGAATGGAAGGAGGGGAGAATAGAGGATTTGCTTTTGGGAGAAGAGAGGAGCTATTTTTGCTTTTGTAAGGGTTCATATGGAAGAGTTCAGGACCTCTTGAATGTCCTGAATTTTATCTTGTAATTGTGTGAAGTGATATGAAATTGAGGAATTCTCAATTCTTAATATTGAGATTCTATCATATTGATTGCATTGAGAATAAAAATTCTCAAGTATTGGTACATGACGAGA